CCTCCTATTTTTCACCAACAACAATCATGTGTGTATTGCTGAAGATAACCCAGTGAGCTTGTGTGGCTGAGAATACCTAGAACCAGTGTCTCTCAGCTCCTGGTCTAATACTGTAACCACCAGACCACACTGGCTGTTCTGAAGTTTTTGTCAAAAAACTGTCTTGTTTTTGAGTTCCTGAATGAAAGCTGGAATACAGGTCGTCCTTGGTATACAACGGCAATTGGGACCAGAATTGCCATTGCTAAGCAACGCAGCTGTAAAGTACATCACGTGACCCCACTGATTAGTGATGGCGGATCCAGCAATCCCAGTGGCCATCGTTAAGCGAGGACCGCATGGGTCATTAAGCGAGGATCTCACATGACCACAACTTCTGACTTCCTGCCAGCTTCCCCATTGACTTCACTTGTGGGAAGCTGGCAGGGAATGTTGGAAATTGCAATCATGTGACTACGGCTCACTGTGATGTCGTAATTGCGAGCTGGGTGCCAAGTGGTTAAGCACGTTGTACAATTTTGTACTGTATAAATTTGAATTGTATAATTTCAGCCAGCCGTTTTATAATAAATGAAAGGAAAAAATCCCTTTCCCACAGTTTTGCCTGCCCAGACAACAGTGTAACAATCCAAAATACATTGCTCTTAAGGACAGGTTTCCATTTTACCTTATGGGGTTGTGTTGTACTGCCCTCAGCTGGAGCAAATACAAACAACAATACTGGCATCATATTTAACTGCCATTTCCAGCTTAGTGCCCTCTAGATGCCATGGGGAGGAAGGAAGTTGCATTTCAAAAGATCTCAAATGCATCGGGTTGGGAATGGCAGGGATATTATACCATTATAAGCATGCAATGTATGCTAATATATGTAATGCATATAAGCATACATTCCACTGAAGCATACAATTCTGATTACTTTCCTAAAGTGTACTTGACTTTCAAATGCATATTGTGTTAATTTTCTGGTTTTAGTTATTTTTAACTAAATAAACTCTCCTGCATTTTTAATGAAATCAGCCTATAAATAAGGTGGATATAGGAAAAAGTAATAAAAATATGTTAACACTCTTATTTAAACTGTGTAAAATATTTATTCAAAAGCTATACCTATTTTAACAGAAATATACACAGAATAGCTGCCAAAGTCTGTGCTTTGTTTTGATTTATCATCTTGTGTGAACCTATCCTTTGAAATCTGTGTATTATGGTTTATAATGTAGCATAACACATCAGGAAACTTGGCCTGTTAAGTCAAAACATGGCTTGTGTCCTAAACACAATTACAAATAATTCCATAGAATACAAAAAGGAATGTTGAGATAACTTGGATTAGACTCAATTGGAAATGTGGCTATTACTTTCTATGACATGGAAAGCTGGAAATTCTATTCTGATCCAGTAGTATTGCAATGAAGGGGAGGGGGCATTGGGGAGGGGGCAGCAATAGCAAAATCCACACTGTCAGGGGCACCATTAGGGTTAAACTCTGGAATACAGATTCCAGGACCCACAGGTGAGGGGGACTTCTGAACAACTCCCAGAAGCCATGTACTAATATAATGCTGCTATCTTGACCTCTGGAAAGTACTGTGCCAGCCAGTCTGTTAAGGCTACATCCATGCACCATTTAAAGCACTTTAAGTTTGCAGGACATTGGCCCAATCCAGAAAAGTCCATATTAGTCTGGGACTGAAAAATCCCTGAAGCCTCAGGGAAAGGAGAATTCAAAACAAAACTAATAATCCAGCATCATGGAGTAGCTAGTGACAGATAAAATTGATGCTATGTCTGACTACTTCCACAGATACTTACTACCATTGAGATAGAATAGTGGAATCAAGATCTCCTGTATTTTGGTTTAGCTCAGATTTTTTTAGACTTAATTAGAGCAACAACAGAGTGGGGTTATATTAGCAGAAAGCCCTAGTTCTGTGCTGGGAGAGAGGCTTTTGCTGCAAGCTAATTTTATCTACCAGTTTATCCACCTGTGCATGGTCTTTTATAGAATAAAAGCACAGAAGTCCCTGGTTCAATGAGTTTGCAATCCAAAATAGATGTGTCCTATTTACCAGATTTGCATGTTGTGATAAACCATGGTTTGGATGTATTCATACATGCTAATCCAAAACTAAACAAGACATAAGATGGGTTTGCACAGCATGTTCAGCCCTTAAAGAGGCTTACAAAACACAGTTGTTGTATTGAGATAACGTGCTATGCCCCCCCAAGCCTGATTTATACAACATGCTAAGACAAGGTTCCCACAACATGCTGAAGCATAAATTAACTCTAAAGGCTGATGTTCACACATAATAAGTTAAAATTTGGTGAGTTTGTTAGTCTGTGTGTACATAGTGTATTTATGATTATCTTTACTATGTAGCAATATAAAATGTTCATCAATATTACTTTCATTTAATGCTGTTTATCAAAATAACTTATATGTTATCTTTCTGTACCAAAGTGCACTTGAAGTAGTTTGCAATTAAATTACAACATATCTTGACAAGTAAAATAGTCACACACATACAATAAAACAGGAACAGTGTAATCCTATATATCTAAGTACTTGTCATAGGGTTCAAGGGAACATACTGTGAATATACCACAAGAATGTAGAACTTTGTGGCCTGTTACATGGTGCTAAATTACAACCCCCATGAAATGTTATTATTGGCTGACTAAAGCTGAGAAAGTTTAGACTCTAACAACATGGCAGCATTTCTGCAATATGATTAGCCATAGATTCACAAATGCACTGAAACATGAACTATCCACAGTTTGGCTTCACGCAATATGCTAGGTTAAAATACGGCTGGCAATGTTGTGATTGTGCAAATACATTCCACCTGGAGAGCCATAGTTTCACCTTCCCTAGTACAGGCTTCACAGCTCCCAAAGCACATATTACTATTTATTTAACTTACATGCACACAACCATGAAGCAACTACAGAGGAAGATAGAATTGAAGTGAGAAAGTATCCTTACCCTTGCTGATAACCAGCTCCAGCAGATTCTTTCTTTTCCTGAAGTATAACCAGCTAATCATAATATTTCACTTTAAGAACTGGTACTATGCCTTTTTTTTTCCCTTTGCACTGTCTGTTACTTAGTAAGACTGCAGAGTGGGAGTGTCTTTTTAAAGTAGGCATAACAACTTTGAAAATGTTTGGCTGAAAAGCAGGATAAAAATGTATTAAAATATAACTACAACAAATATTTATAATATCACTTTTCACTAGGTAACACAATTCAAAATCAATCTGAATTCAGAAATAAAAACATAAAATGCATAATAAAAATATCATTAAAGCTCTAGGCACAGTACTCTAAAACAAAAGCAAGGAATGCAAACACAAATTAAACAAAATAGTAATGACAGTCAACCCAAGAACAATAACTACCCAACCATGTTCTAGCTAAGGGATGTGATGTACAATCCCAGCCTACGAAGTTAGTTCATAATTCAATGTCATATAAACCCAAAATACTGGGTTAACTGCGCTTGCCAAGGTTAATACAACCATGGTTCTATTTTTTAATCCTATTTTCTAGGTTCACGGGAGGCAAAATATTCTAAAATCACCGTAGAGAGAGTAAAAACAAGCATAGGTTTCAGCTCTAACAGTCATCTAGATTTCTCATCCCTATCCTGGGCACCCAGAAAATTAAGCTGATTAAACTGTGGTTGGCACTGAACCATGTAAGTAACCACAGGGGCTGATTTCACACAACATGCTAGATTGTGAGTAGTTCGTTTGTAGTTCAGTACAACGTGGAAAGACAGCCACTATCAGTCATCTATAGAGAGATATCTCTGCAGTGTCTTGCAATAACATCGTATCAGTCAGAAATATTTTGAAAACGTTTAGAGGTTCTTGGCGTGTTTCTCGACTCGTTGCTTTCGCAGTTAGGCGTGGAAGAATAAGAAGCCAGCTCAGCTGACGCGTGGACTCTTTCAAAGCAGCCCAATGAGTAAAGCTAGTGACATAGAGACGGAGGGAGCAAAGGAGAGCGCGGCAGACGGATGTGACGACGGTTCACTAGGCTCATTCTTTGATTTACTCTATGGAACAACCATAGATTTCGGACAGTTCCTACAGTATACTAAACTTGAACACTGTGTCTTCACAAGGCGGGCGTGATGATGGGACAGGGGGCGGGACAGGAGGAAAGGAGGTGTGGCCTGCGTCCACTCAGCTGACTGTCCGCCATTTTGTCCGCCGCTCCGGCTTTTACCTCAGAAAAGCGCCGGTGGGGCGGGAGGCGAGAAAAAGGAAAAGGGGAGCAGGTGGGCAAGTGGCGGCACTCTTTCCAGCCCGCGGGATGTGATCCGCCGCCGACCCCCCTTTTTCTGCCTGCGCCCTGACTCCTGTGGCGTGTCTTCCTTTCTAGGCGGAACACTGCCTTCTTTTTCCATTTAGTTTGGCTTCTCCCGCTCCGGCGGTTCTCCCTCTCCGCGATGGCGCTGAAGATGGTGAAGGGGAGCATCGACCGCATGTTTGACAAGAACCTGCAGGACCTGGTGCGGGGCATCCGCAACCATAAGGAGGACGAGGTGAGCGGGAGGAGGAGGAGGAGAAGGCTGGCAGTCTACGGGGTGGGGGTCGACGTTGACGGCGGGACAGGCCATGATGTCGGCGGTAGCTCATCCCTCTTCAGCATCTGTCAGATTTTAAGACAGAAGTTCCCCCAACCTGGTGCCATTCAGATGTGTTAGACTATAAGTTCCCTCAGTCTCAGCCAGTAGTTGCATGCCAGTTGGATGTCATGCGAGTTGAAGCCCGAGGCTTCTGCAGGGAGCCAAATTAAGGACAAGGCTGATTTAAGAATTGGTGGGCGAATTTGTTGCTCATCCTACCCCACTGCCTTTTCATTCCTATTCCTATTCCCATTCCTTTTTCTTTCTTTTTCTTTTTTTTTTTTTGCAAATTTTTGGAGTTTGTACCCTTTGCTTCCCTCAGGGAACACAAAATGTGGGGAGTGGCTCAGCCAAAGAACTTGCTCTCCCTAACCTATTTTGTCCATAAGGGTAAGAGGAGAGAATGTCATCTTCCTTTTTTTTTTTTTATCTCCTGGGTTTTTCATTCCTTCTTTGTTTCTAATCTCAATAGCTCCATTAAGGAGGGAAAGAGAATAGTTGCACAATGTTTTTTTATTAGTACAGTACTAGTAGAAGGCCTCAGTCTAGACCTTGTGCTTGCATTTTGTTATTCCTCTCCCTTTGATTCCTTTTAATGTACCTTTTAAATTAAAACCCTGGAGCAGGAACTGTGCTGTATTATATCACTGATTTTTGCAGTCCTTTTTAGGAGTCTTTCTGATAAAAGAAGGGTAAAATGTGCTTAATGATAAATAATAGTGCGTACATATACACATTATTCGGCTTAAATAACTAACTTTGCAAGGTAAGTCAGTATTATTGTCATCATATGAAAATTCTGTTAAACCTTTCATTTGGGCCAGTCCCAGTCTCTTGGCCTAGCCTACTCACAGGGTGGTTGTTGTGGGGATAAAATTGGGGGACAAGTCTGAGCTCCTGGAAGGAAATGGGACATAAATTTCATAAACAAGGGTGTGATTTTTTAAGGCCATCCATAGTGAACTAATGGTGAAGGATAAATTTGAACAGAGGCTTTCTGGGTTGCATCTCAGTGACTTGGCCACAATGCTGTGGCAGCTTTTTATGAAGACCCCAGTGTAAATAGTAACCTCATAATTTTACAAAAGTTAGCAAAACACATTGACCAAACAAAGAATCAGGAGACCTTTACCACTGATATATAATTTGTTTACTTGACATTCAGTCAGTAAAGTAGACCAGTGTTGTGAACTGTCCTTCCACAAAGAACTGAAAGTGGCATATATAGCACTTCTTCAATTTTCCTCACAACATTTCCTCTGTGGGATAAGTTGGGCTGAGAGAGTGTGACTGCCCCAAGACATCAAGTGAGTTTTTATGGCTAAGGGTGGACTTGAACCTGGATCTCTCTAGTCCAAAATACTTTACTGCATCATACTGGTATTCACAAATAAAAGTCTTTATTCTGTATGTATTTCTACATACCATTGCGCTATTTATCTTGTCTCTCTTTCAGTAGTCCTGTAATAGATCAATATGTCCCCATCTTACCTAAGATTATGGGTTGAGTTCTTGGCAGTGAATTCAAACTATAGATTCCATGGTTCAACCTTTAGAGTCCCCAAATAATGTTGCCAGTATCTAGCAGTCATAACACATTTCAAGTAGTGCAACTATTTTGCATATGTGCTTTTAAACACAAGTAACCTTTGTAAATACATGCATGGTAAGACTAGGTTAGTATGGCTAGATTGGCTATGTTTGTATGCCACACCCCACTATGAACTAGCCAGCCACATTTTAGCCTGTTGTGTTATACAAATCCATCCTTTGTGGTTAGTTTATAATTCAGTATATTCTATGAACTCAGAAAAGTGCCTAAACTGTGGTTTAGCTAATTATAGATAAACATGCTATGCAAATGCAGCCATTGAAGTTTTCAGGACAGGTTTTGAGGCTGAGAGGAGTAGCTTATCTAAGGCTGCCTGATAAGTTTCTAAGAAAACTACCCATCAAGAGAACTGGTTCATTGCTGAATTTCAGATATTGAGGACAGACATGAAGAGGGATATGTTACCTTCATGCCTGTGTATTTTTTGGCATTCTTGGTAATATGAATCCATTTGGTCACTGTAGCTAATTTATCTGTGGGCAACAATCTGTCCTCATTATATTTGGCCCCAATTACACATTTTTATCCACCATCTTGAGATAATACTGGAATATCTTTTTGCATGCTTCTTAAGAAGTAGACTGAAATCATTTGTTGAAAGTGCTAAAAGGAAAGTGTATCCAAACACGACTAATGGTCGCTATACTGCCTGCAAAACTGCTCTTTGTAGCCCTGGTATGGTACTCCAGTCAAAATTGTTAAGTTCATAGCATGATTTTCTGCCTTCACAGCATGGTTTTCTACTCATTTATGACATTATTTTTTTTTAATAATAATGTATACACCACCCATCTCACTATATAAGTGACTCTAGGCAGCATACAAGCAAAAGAACTATAAATATCTTTACAAACATATACAAAGCTAAAAAAGCTAAAAAAAAAAAAAAAAAGTGGAGAGAGTATCTTCAAGCTACCAACCACTCCCAGGGCTGCAAACCCCCAGTGGATCCCCATTGCAAGTAGGCAGAGCCCGATCTTAATGACCCATCTCACTATATAAGTGACTCTAGGCAGCATACAAGCAAAAGAACTATAAATATCTTTACAAACATATACAAAGCTAAAAAAACTAAAAAAAAAAAAAAAAGTGGAGAGAGTATCTTCAAGCTACCAACCACTCCCAGTGCTGCAAACCCCCAGTGGATCCCCATTGCAAGTAGGCAGAGCCCGATCTTAATGCTCTTCCAGAAGGCCCATAGAGAGGGGACTAATCTCACCTCAGGGGACAAGATGTTCCAGAGGGCAGAAGCAACAGCAGAAAAGGCGCTCCTCCTAGACCCTGCTAGTTGAAATTCCTTGGCCGACGAGGTCCGTAGCATGCCCTTCCTGCTGGACCAGGTGGGACAGGTCAATGTAATTGGACGAGATGGTTTTTCAGGTAACCTGGGCCCATGCCATGAAGGACTTTAAAGGTGATAACCAACACCTTGAATTAGACCCGGAAGCAAACCAGCACCCAGTACAGCTCAAGTGTTACATGCGTAGTTCTAATGGCGCCCATAACTGCCTGTGCCACTGCATTCTGCACCAGCTGCAGCTTCCAAATACTTTTCAAGGGCAGCCCCATGTAGAATGTATTACAATAATCCATACGGGAGATGACCAGGGCATCAGTGAGTGAGAGAAGGGCCTCCCAGTCCAGGAAAGGGTGCAACTGTCAGGTTCAGCCCAAAGAACTCCACGAGACAGTGCAATACAATTCTGTTACGTTTATTAGCTTCCACCTCA